TTTTTTCTGTATGTACGTGTATATAACAATTTTTAGTTTTCTGTACAGAGTTTATAAAAAATCCTACTAACAAGTTTGTATAAAATTTTGCAGAGGAGAAGGACAAGTGTATAACCCATTTTAATTGGCTAAAATATAATACAGCACCATGGTTTATGGTACAAAATCATTGGGAGCATTCGCGAGCACTTAGACAAGAACGTATTGCAAAGCTACATAGTAACTTACATACGTTATTTGAGGAATGGCCTGTTTTAAAGCAACCACGAGGATATACTTTGGTAACTATCTTCTATATAATTAATGTTCTTTATATAACTGTTATCTACTGCAAAAATGTAATGTATTATTTGTCTCTTCTTACATTTTTTTAAAACAATTTTTCTCTTACTTAAGAAAAGAAATTTGAAGTTCAAAGAAAAACATACCTAAAAATATTAATGTCTACTTTCCAAGATTTCATTCTTTTAATATTTTAATAATAAAATCATTGTCACTTATTTTATATTACGATTTGTGTCTTAATTAACGATTTTTTACGATTAAGTTTTAGAATAATGCTTTATAAATATATGTGTATAACAAGTGCCACTAGTAATAAAAGGATTATATAAACTTCATATATTTTAAAAGAATGAGTTATTTTTCTAGAAGTATTTTATATTTTACATAAATATTGATTACCACATTTTATATATTTTTATTTTAATTATGTGTATGTATGCGTGCACACACGTACACGCGTGGATTTTATCTTTTAACATTATTTACAGATTGACAATGATTATATTTTTTCTTTTGAGGAAACGACTAATATTTATACTGAATGGGCACAATTCTCACAAAAATTACAAAAAGTTATTAAAGAGAATCTAAAAGATAAATATTATTATACATTATATCATGAGAGCACTTTAGATGAGATAACTGAAGGTAAAGCAAAAATATGATATGCATTGAAATATTTAAAAAAACCAGTATTTTTACTATTTTACATATAACTTTTTTTCCATGTGTACTATATTCACTCTTTATTTTTACTAATGACAAAATATCAAAACTAATGTTTACTAATAACGAACGGTTAATAATAAAAATTTTTTTTATCAGAGTCAAGAAGAGTTATACTCTTGTCATTATTGCCTGTGGTATGTCCTCCTCAAGCCAGAGTCAAATTTGATAAAAACAAATTATGGAAGCCAAGTATAGCTGAATCAATTTCAGGATTTATTTTACATATTAAGGTATAGTACATTACAATGATTTACACACAAAATCAATAATGTAGCGCACGCATACGCCGCACACATGTACACATTTCATATTAAAAACATAAAGTTTCTTATTTTTCAGACGCCAAGAGATATTGAAATAGAAATTCAACAGAAGAGAAATAAGGCACTAGAATTAAAACAAACTGTGCAACCATTTATTATTATCGTTGGTCCAAGTTTAAGGCAAATAGACAGTTATTATGTCGTGGTTGACGATATCTTATATAAATTGGAGAATATTTTGAAAGCCATAGATATTTGCTTTAAAGTATTTATGGTATTAGATGTACAATATCCTATCGAATGTGAACAGGTATGGCTGTTTTTTCAACTGTACATTTATAAGCAACGAACTAAAAATGACAAAGTGATTAAATCAGTCCTAGAGTTTCACGAAAAAATTGATAATGCGTAAATAGTTGGAACGATTTCTATTAACACTGAATGAAAAGCACTTCTTTCATTTAACAATGTTTTATTGTTGTTTATGTACGTCTTCTTATACTAAAATTGACCTTCTTATTAATCATTTATCACATATACATAAATATTCTTCCAACCGATTTGTTTGTAAACAAAATAGTTGTTATCGAGAATTTCATAAATTAAGTAAGTTTAAAAAACATTTATTAAGTAAGCATGCTATTAATCAGAATATTAGTGCATCTCTTCAACATAAATTTAATTTGGAAAACACAGATTTAAATATTGAAAACGTACACACTCAAGATACTGATAATTACCATGATGTAAAACGCGACATTGATAATGGAAGCATCGTAATTAGTCATATAAAGGATCAGTTAAAAGAATCAGTGTCTTCTTTTATTTCAACTTTTTATAATGACAAAACTATACATAATCGTAATATTCAAAAAATAATAGATATAACAAAAGAATTTATAGAAGATGATATAATTTTAAGTCTAAAGAAAAATGTAAAAAAAGTACTAGAACAATCAAATATCGATAATCGCAAAATAATTTTAAATATAGAAAAAATATTTCATGCATATGAAAACCCTTTCCATGGTTTAGAATCAGAATATAAAAGACTTCAGTTTTTCAAAAATAGAGGTAGTTTCATAGAAGCTGAATCTTATGTAATCGGTACAAGAAACATTCGTAAACGACATAAAGGACAATTTTCACTTACACCTGTGAATGCGATTGGTCAATATGTTTCAATTAAAAAAGTATTAAATGGATTGTTCAATATTCCAGGATTTTTAACAACAATATTAAATTATATGCACATTTTGTCTGAAAAAAGTAATGTAATTCATAATGTTATTCAAAGTGAAGTATACAAATGCTTGTTGAGACAGTTTCCAGCTGATTCTATAGTACTACCTCTTACTCTATTTTATGACGCTTTTGAAACACAGAATCCTTTAGGTGGACATGCAGGCAATCAGAAAATGGGCGCAACTTACTTTTCTTTGCCTTGTATTCCACCACAATTTTCTTCAAAATTAGACAATATTTTTCTCACTTTATTATGTAACGAAAACGATAGAAAAAAATTTGGAAACAAAAGTGCTTTCTTACCACTTATAAAAGAATTGAAGTATTTAGAAAAAAATCCTGTATTCAGAACTAGTGATAACAAGGATATCTACGTTTGTCTTACGTTGATTACAGGTGACAATCTCGGAATACATGAGATTTGCGGTTTTGTAGAAAGTTTTGTTGCTAATTTTCCATGTCATGTCTGTAAAATGTCGCGTGATTTATTACGAGAAACGACTACTGAAATCGATGCCCTTTTACGAACAAAAACAAATTACGAAATAGATGTAAGATTAGGAGACGTATCAAAGACAGGAATAAACGAAAAATGCATTTTCAATTGTTTACAAAATTTCAATTTATTCGATAATCTTGCATTCGATATTATGCATGATATCTTTGAGGGTATATGTCAATATAATTTGTCTCAGTTACTCTTACATTACATATATGAAGCTAAACTTTTTACGCTTGACGAACTAAATAATCGATTACATATATTTGTAGGAACTATAGTATAATGCGGCATAGCAACTCGATCGTCCTTCGGTCGCGTAAATATTTTCGTGCCCGCTTCGCGACAAGAGCGTTAGTTTTATGTTCGACGTTATTTTGTTAAAAGCAGCGCGTCCCGGCAACGGGAAAAACAGGCTCAGTCCTGCGACGACCGCCGAAAGAGCCAGTCTCTCTCGTTTTCACGATTCTGTATTCAATAATAAATCCTGACTAATATAATACATTTTAACGAGTGGCTTCCTCCTCTTACATATTTGATTTTGGCCTCGAAGATGGAGTAAACCGTCCACCTTCTTTAAAAAAAGAAAAGTTAAAAAGATATCGTTTGGGTTTCTCTGCGTCCGAGACAATTTATTTTGTAAAGTACTTTGGATTGCTAATTGGTGATTTGATATCGGAGAATGATAAATATTGGGATTTATATGTATCTTTAAGAGCTATTATCGATATACTCATGGCACGATCAGTAACAACTGCAGACATTGAATATTTAAACATTTTGATTACAGAACATTTAGAGATTTATATCAATTTATTTGGAAAAACTTTGAAAGTAAAGTATCATAACATGCTTCATTATCATCGAGCTATAAGGAAATTTGGACCATTAATTAACATCTGGTGTATGCGTTTTGAAGCTAATCACCAAAAGCTCAAAGCGTATGCGCGTATAACATCAAGTGTAAACTTACCTTTGACACTGATGCAAAAGAATCAATTTATGCTAAGTAATAGAATTTTGAAAGAATTTTCGTTTAAGGAAGAAGTGCTTTTTACATGTGACTCTGTAAACACAATTGAAAATCACCCATTGTTTTTTGAATTTCAAAGCTGTTTACCAAATTCGTCGTTACTATTACTGAAATGGATTAAAATAAATAATTATACGTACAAACCTAATATGACTTTAAGTTTAGGAGTCCAAGATATTTTACCTTCTTTCGGGATTATTACAGTTATTACTGTTAATGAACATGAAGAGTTTTATTTTGTAATTAACAAATTTGAAACTCTTGGATTCTCTTCTCATTTTTATGCTTATGAAGTGATTCCAACCAAACATTTTTTGCTTTTAAAATCACAAGATATATGTACATTTAGTTCTTTTCC